GTTTGCGGATAATAAAACTTCGAAAGAGATAAAGTAGAGATCCTATCCTCTTGCAACTTTTGACAGAAAAAATGCAAACCTTCCACCAATATTAATCAAGAGTTCATAATAATTTGAATCAAATCCAACATTTTTCACCTTAATCTAAACTCCATCCTCAACAAGCAATCTTCCTCAATAACTTGGGTGGAACCCAAATTTTTTAATTAAAATACGCATTTGTTACTATATAGTTGCCTTAATCAGGCAGAGACAAAGTCCTTCCATCGAGTGAAAGGGCAGAGCTTAGGTAAATAGACTGAAATCAAGCTACCCAACAACAGTCGTCACCTTCCATCATGAAATCAAACCCAACAACTTTCATGAAAAAGCACAAACAACAGCGATTAATTCAAGCAGCATTTATTTCGTAAAAAAAATTACTTTAATCAGGCAGAGCCTCACAAAGAGTAACAGGGCATAGCTTAAGTTAATCGACATGAAAAAAAAAGCTTAAAAAAACATAAATATTGCGATTTGAGTTATCTTGTTAAGTTGTTATGATGCAGGAGGTGCAACCCATTTCAGAAGAAATAAAAAGTGAGGATAAGAGAACAACCAAAAATCAAACATTGACAAGATATGAATGGCCATAGCAGAATATTACCAGCCAGAATCCCCCACTGACGTGGGACGGGAGCATTGACTTTATAAAAGTTGGATACTTAGATTCTAAATCCGACATTAACTTATCAGCTTTCTCCAAGGCTTCCTCTCTTTCTTCCATTGAAGCATATACCCGATTCGAAAAATCTCTATGCCTGTTATAAACACTAAAAACATGACATGGAAAAAAACAAGTCAAATATTTTCCATCACATAAGAATGCATATGGAGCCCAAAATAAAAGTTTAGAGGGGGAAAAACCTTCTTCTAGGTATTGCGACGCGTTCAATAACGACCTGTGGTTAGGAAAAAGAAAAAATGGAATGAATGAATGAAGAGTTGGTGGTTGGAGGGGGAATAACAATGAAATTGAAAGCTCACTTCTTTGTAAACAGGAGCGGGAATGTTGGCGACGCGGCTTGACCTCCTCACGACAACAAGCTGTTTCTGGATGGTGCGAGATTTGACGTGCTTAAGCGGAGAGGGAGAGGGAGATGAAGAAGGAGACTTATGAAGTGCTTGAGAAAGCTGAGTCAGATTCAGAGCCTCCATTCTCTTCCTGTTTTCCTCCATTCTTTTGCGGCGAGATTCCTCATATGACGCTACCATTTTTAGACAACGGAAGAGAACTAACAATTCAATATGAAGAAGAAGAGAAAGCTTTTATTTCAGTGCTCTCTCTGCAATCAAATTAAGTATGAGTATGTATGGCATTGAACTGCACTGCCAGTCGACCGTTGCATTCCCACTTCCCAATGTCTTCAATCGATGGAGGTAGCTAGGTTTAAAATAAAATAATATTTTTTTTACTATTTTTAATTAGAAAAATGATATATTTACCACCAAATAAAAATTTACAATTTTTTAACTAATTTAATTATCATTAATTTTCGTCAATTTAACAGTTATAATTTATTGAAAATTATTGGGTCATATTTATTAATTAATTTTTAATTTTTAATAAATTATAACGTTAGATTGACAAAAATTAACGGTGATTAAGTTAATTATAGAGGTGGTAAACTTTTTTAGTGATAAATATATCATGTACCTCTTAATTATATATTAACTTAAAAATAAAATAAAATGGTCTCAGGCATCAGCTATTTTGAAATCAAAATTTCAAGTCTTACTTCGCCTGTTGGGGTCGGGGTCACCTCTAACGTCTCTTCAAAATTATACCAACATGTAATAATGTAACACGTTTGCAATCTCGTAGCATAATCAACGTTTTGAGAGCAAACTAATTCTAGCACCTCAAACGTTTAATGTTTAGTTTACGTGGATAGTTGTACATCATTTTGAATGATATAAAATTGTGTCATTTTAAGTGAGAGAAAAAGATAAATCATGAAAACAACAATGGGTAGAAATTTTTTTAAAATTATGGGTCCTACCTCTTTATGAAAGTGAAAGGATATAAGGTGTGTCATTTACCTTTTTCCTTTAGTTTATTAAGTGTGTACTCGGACAGTACCAGTTTATAAATATAATGCTGCTCTTTTTTATTTATTTATTTTAAAAACTTTAGTTTTCATAATTTGTTATTAAAATAGAAAAACAAAAATATATGTGTATGCTTCTTGACTGTTCTTTCAAAAAATAGAATTGTTTCGGGTTTATACTTGGGATAGGCCCACTGGGTTTGAACACAGATCCAGCTCACCTAAAGGCCCAGAGGCCCAAGATCTTCCTGCTCGATTATGGACTTCTAACTAGACTCTAAAGCCATAAGCCCGGCTTGTGGGGCTTGATGTTGGAGCTTGGATCATCGGTTTGAACCTACGATCCTTTCCCCCACATTCATTACCACTCAATAAAACCACGATCTTGATAGCTGCCCAAGATTCCACGTCTTATGTAACTACCGCTTGTAAGGGCTATATAAGCATGTGAATAACACAGGGAAAGGGACTTTTTGGATCATCACCAGAGACCCTGTTTCTTTTCTTTTCTTTTTTGGTGAATGCAGAGACCCTGTTTCTACTAACAATATCCAGTATTTCAACTATGGGAAATATGTCTCCCACTTAGTAAGAGAGACAATATTCTTTCTATAGAGATATAGAAATGTGTGTCTTTTTTTCTTTTTCTTTTTCATTTATTGTGGTGAGGCTCACGGTGGCTTTAAGTCTGAGTCTGCAACATAAGAGGAGATATCTCCTATTAATACAAACCCTTCAACTATACCCATAAGCATATACATACACCAGACCTTATCCTTTGTCACCCTATGTTAGACACTTACCCATTACCTTAGTCAAGTTGGTGTTCACACTAAACAGGAATAAAAAAAAAAACCTTATTTATTTACTTTTTCTTTTGTAAAAAAAAAACCTTATTTAATAATAGGTGTTCTGTAAAAACTAATTCTTAAAAAAAATATCGACTTTTAATTTTATAGCTATACAATTAAAATTAATTTTATTAACATTATATCGTTTATTCTGACAAAAATGATTCTCCAACAAAATTTTTTTAACAAATTATTTAAGAAGTCTTTTCTTAACTGAGCTAGTTGGCATTTTTTAGTCTTTTGTTTTATTATAATTTATAAATATAAATATATATATATATATATATATATATATATATATTTATAAAACCCAACAACTGATTAAAGAATAGTAGGAAAGAAACTATAAATTAATTATTATGTTTATTAAATTATAAAAATTAGTTATTTTCCTCTTCATCTCCCCAGTACCCCCCTCTTTCTCTTTCTTACCCCCTTCTTTTCTTCTATTTTATTTTTCCTTTCAATCTTTTTTCTTTTTTTATTTTGGTATGCAATCTTTTTTCTTTTACCTCTTTGTATATATGTTTTCTTTCTCTTTTTTCCATATATTTATTTTATTCTATTTTTTTTTTATTGCTTACCTTCTTATTCTTATATGTCATCCTATTATCCTATATATCCTTATTTATAGTTTATTTTAATTTATTTTTCCTTATAATTATGCACTACTTTTTATGGATAATATACTTAAAGTTTATTTTTTTATTTTTTTAATCTTTTTGTAATTGTTTTTTGAGTTTATCTACCTCTGACTCCAACTAATTTGAGATAAATGTATTGTTGATTAAATTATAATGAAAGCAAAAAAAAAAATTATTTAAATGTGAATTATCTAAAAATTGACATTAATAAATTATTAATTTAATAAAATCATATTTAGTTTTAAAACTATATTAATATATTTTATCTACGAATTAAAAGTATATATATAGGTTACCATATATATATAGGGGCGGACCCAGGGGGTGCTAGAGTAAGCGGTCGCTGCCCTCAAAATTTGAAGAAATTTTTTAGCATAATTATAATGCAAGAAACCTCTATTTTTTCTCTCAATTAATGTGAAGTAGTTTTCTCTCACCGCACAGAGTTTATAGAGCTTCTTTATATTCTCAGGTTTATTTAAGATTACATCACAGTGTTGGGAGTATCAGTGACCACCAATAGAACTACATGGTTTCTCTTAGTTCAAATTCTTTTAGCTACGTGGCTCTTGTTTGTTAGCACAGACCTGGTGGTAACAATTAACGTATGAAATTAGTATTAAATTATGGGGAAAGATCTATTTACAATTTTTCAATTTTTTTTTACAAATTACACTAAGTATGACCAGTCATACACTCTTGATTAAACTCTTGATTAAAGTATGACGGTCAGACACAATATAGTTTGTAAGAGTTTCTAAATGAAAAGTTTGTAAATATAACATTCCCCTTAAATTATAGTTTAAACTTCGACTTGAAACTAACAATTTCAACTTTTATTATGCTTAGATGTTAGCACAAATATTCCCATCCATAAATAAAAACAAGAAGTCCGAGAGTCTTATGAAAGAATGAATCTTATTATTTTAAGTAAAATAAACCGTGTCTTATTATATATTTGTTGGACTTTTATATTTTCTTTTCTGCAAAATTAGAAAAAGAGAGAATGAGAGAGTATTCAATTTTCCTTATCTTTGAGTGCCGGTCCTTATATTTTTTTTGTTAACTGATTTTTTTAATCCCCATAGTTTATATTAATCAACTAAATGACAAATATAAGAAATAAATCTACCATGAATTAGGAATAAGTATATGTTCGGATTAACTTATTGTTTGAGGTTGAATTGAAAAAAGTTACTAAAAGATATTTTGAAAAAAAATATTTTTCAAAAGAAAATAAAAACGAACATGTAAATCGCAAATGATTCAATCAACTCAAACCAGTAGAAAAATCTATAAAAGGATTATTCGCACTCTAAAATGTAACTTTCATTGTGGTTTTATTAGTTTTTAATTGATATTGCAAAAAAGTGAAGCCCTACAAAGACTATAATGTTCTAACTAATATCTTATCAAGCCCAAGTTCTTCAACCAGAGTAGTACCTCCGCAAGTCCTTCTTTCAGGCTTCTGGGCCTATAATCTAGCTCCATTTTAGCTTTCTCGCAGGAATACTCCCATTTATGTCTTAAAACATGCACCGTCTGCTCCAAGATTAAATCACAGAAAAGTAAGAGCAAAAAACACAAATGATTTGATAACAGTGGCAATGGATCTGACCTGTATTACGACAATTGTTTAATTGCCATGAGTTGAACCACGTTTGAGGGTCAAAACATGTATTGAGGAATGTGATTTTGGATCTAAAACAATAATACTTTAAATTTGATATATAGCAATTTTAATTTTAAGATATTAAGTTGCTAAAAATTTCTGGAAAAAATAAGATATAGGTGGTTTGGATGCATCAAAATCAAAATAAGTGCTAAAACAAGAGAACTTACTGGTGGACTGATCAGGGGTAGCTTTCCAGTGATTAGAGAGAATAAAACTGACAGCCACCCATATGCTTCAATCACCCACAAAGGGATGCTAAGTATTGGTTTTTTAGTATCAGTAATCACAGCAGCCATATCAAAAATATGCTTGAACGATGCATTTTCACCCGTTAGTAGATACCTATTCCCTGGTTGTCCTTTTTCCATTGCTGCAATGTGTCCTTCCACCACATCATCAACATGGCTGAAGGAGAATTTATCATTTCCATCGCCTATGTAACCAGGTAATCGACCACTAAAGCGTTCTACAATCTGACAAGTGAAACAAAATCAAAGAACATTTTCACTTTCAATGACATATAACATTTTGTAATTGAAACTCTAAAGGAAAATCAAGTAAGTTACTTGTTCAAAAGGAAAAAAAAAAAACTATGAAGTGATTATTCCTGACATTAGAATTTGGAAGGACAGTTATGATTTTCATACCAAATCATCCTAAATTCCTAGGTGTCATAAAAACAGATACATCAGAACCCATTTAGACAACCAACCATATTTCTTCTCATCATATCCTATGATAAAACAAAATAAACAAGAGTGAAGCAGTAACACTACCATTTTTGCAACAATGTTTCCTGCAGTGACCTTGCCAGGCCCATAGATTACCCCAGGATAAAGCAACACTATTGGCACACCCTCGGACGCAGCTTGCACCGCAATCTTATCAGCAGCAACCTTTGATTTCTCATATTCCGTGCAAAAAAATTTCTCATGATGAACCTGCAATTGCAATTGGAACAGAAACCAAATACTCAAACACAGCATCTAGAAAAAATAATAATAATAATAATAATAATATTCTAAGTCGTTATTTTACTTTATTCTCATCGGCAATGTCTCCATCAGTTGGTCCTAGAGCGAAAAACGACGACGTATATATGAGTTTCTCCACTGTCTTGGTCTCCTTCACCGCCTCCAACACATTCTTCAATCCACCAACATTAACCTAATTTAAAAGAAATAGGGATTTGATAGGATTGAGTTAACAATAGAGGCACGATAAATTTAGTTATGTTGATAGGTAATTACTGAAGAGTTGGGGGGGCTTACGGAGAAGAATTTAGAGGGATCGGGAAGCCAGGGCTCGACGAGAGCGGCGAGGTGGAAGACGACGGAGCAGGCGGAGCATGCGGCGAGGAGAGAGGCGTAGTCGGTGATGTCGCCGTAGATGATATCGAGAGAGGGAGGAAGGGCGGAGAGATCGCTGGTGGGTCTGACGAGGACCCTGACGGAGTAACCTTGTCGGAGCAAGGCATGACAGAGCCTTCCCCCAAGGTAACCGGATGCACCGGTCACCAATATCTTCATTCTCTGCCCGTCAAGTCTTGTTGTAGACTCCAGGCTCCACTGCTAGTAAGTCAATGCCAAATTGTCAATGTCCCAGTTCCAGATTTTCTTGCATTTTGTTAAGTCAACGTCCTAGTTCCAGGTTCTCTTGCTCATCGTGAACGAGAGGGCATATGAAAGGGAAATGGGATTTAGTTGGGTTCTCTTTTCAATAAAAAAAATATATTATGAGTTTTATAATTAATATTAACTACTCATTTTGCTATTGAAAGTATTGTGAAGTAAAAGAGATGAAAATTATTTACTAAAAACAAGAAGAAGATAATAGCGTTTGATACGGCAGAAAATTTTTTTGATCGAGAATAAAAATTGCATCAGAATATGATGAGAAATTTTTGTTGCCGGTAAGTAACAAAAAAGTGTTTGGTAGCCCAAAATTTTGCAGGAAAACTTAGATTAATTTTACTAAGGTATGTTTGGTTGACTGTAAAAAATTAATAGGAATATTTACAGAAATTACCTTTTTCCACCCTTTCTCTTTTCTCTTGATATTCTGATCCAATAGTATTAGAGATGAATAAATAAAGTATGCATGAAAAAATTTAGGTATAAATATCTTATCATGGAGATTGAATGCAGTTACTAATTCATGATCTGACATGTACAAAATGAAAACTTCATTCTCGATTCTACGAGAATTTTTATGTTTTACCAACCTCAGTCGTAGGAGAAAGAAACATTCTTCGGAGAGGAAGAAAAAAATTGAAAAAAAAAACGACTTTAGGTGGATTCCTAACTTTTCTATCATCGTGTAAGTAAGCAGTTCTTATTGTATCGGCCCCCAACTCCGCTAATTCATCTTTACGGTGCTTCCGGTGATTCAGGTGAGATCCAATTTAGATCCAACTTTCTATTCACTCGTGGGATCCGGGCGGTCCGGGGGGGACCACAACAATTTCCAATTCTTCGTCATTTAGATTCATGGTAAAAAGAAAGATATATTTAAGGATAAATATTACCTCCCCCCTTGCGGATTTTTTGGTCCATCATATTCATGCATTTACAATTCATGTGACGGTATTGATACTACTAAAGGGTGTTCTATTTGCTCGTAGCTCGCGATTGATACCGGATAAAGCAAATCTTTACAATCAAATAGAAAGCCTCAAGGGCGCCATATTGTAGGAGCCCAAATTATGTGATTGAATAAATCCTCCTCTATCTGTTGGGATCGTGATCTTTATTAACTTTTGTTTTTATCTCTATTAATTTTTTAGGATAAAATATTATACCTATTTTTTTATGCCTATTTTATTTAGGGAAGAACTTGTATTATTTTAAAGGATATAAAGTTGTGTCATCTTAAGTGAGAGAAAGAGATAAATCATAAGAGAGAGTGGGGGAGAAAGAGTGAAAAGATGCAAAGTGTTTCATTTAACACATTTTTCCCTTTTATTTATCAAAATATCAACTAGCCTTTACATTTTCTCTCTCCTTTCACTCTTCAGTTATGTTTGTGATGTAAATATATTTTTGAGAAAAATAAATAAAATAAGCATGAAAAAAATAGATATAATATTTTATCCGTAATTTTATTTTATTTATTTTTTTCATTAGTCCCCATCCCCTTTTTTCCAACTGCAGAGCATTATTTTGTTGGGGAGTCAGTCTGAGTTCCCCGTGTTTTTTTTTTTTTTGTCAACTTTAAAACATATGCCTTGCTACCATATCATATCAACGAAATTTATAACAATATTCATGATGTCAATTTTGACTTTATAATATAGTTACTCTAACATAAAATTAAACATGGTAAAATAAATATTTCACTCATATTGCGAGAAAGTAAAAATTTAGTCAGATGATACCAGCATAACTTCATCAATAAAAAATTAATTTTATTCTACTCTTCAAGGCTAAATTAAGTTACACAAAAAATATATAACGAAAAATACTATGCACATGTGTTATTCATAATGTGAAATAAGTAAATATTGTATAAGATTGAATAGAATTCCATTCATTCATCACGCCAAACAACCTTATATTGTGAATGAGTGAGGTTGAAAGTGAGCTCTGAAGCAATACTACTTTCTATATGAACAGAATATGTCAACTTAATTCGAAGGATACAGTATTACATTTACAACTCCCCCCTTATTCTTGTCACAGTGATCTCAGTCAAAACATAATATTTTTTCTCCGTTGAAGTAGCTGTACAATTTACGTTAAGAAAAAGGCTTACTGCTCAATCACATTACTTATTCCTCACTCAGTGCTTATAGAACCACTGAGGTGAGAATTCATTAGTCCTTCTGCCTCTTATTCCAGGTACTATCACAACTGAGGGCCTATTAGATCTCCCTAAAAAATTGAAGAAAAACATCAACCTTAAAGCTTGTCAGAGAATTCACCTCAAACTTTTGCCAGTCAACAATCTTACAACCTTGAGCGCCGAATACATTTTATAGGATTAAATGGAGCATGCCTCCTTGTACCAACTAAGAGTCCTCCATTCTTGGAATTCGACCTGATATCCCAATCCTCAACATTCTTGGGAACACAAATATCAAACAACATTTGGCCAAGAACCCCATGTGCATTGATGCTCGGACGGCTTGGGAGATGAATAAAACCTCCCTTGCGTTCATCTGCTACAGAGCCAACATCTTTGCCATCGTAATACTCCATTGAACTAGGAGACAAATTATCACTTGGAGCAAGTGCAAAACCCTGAAAACTAGTTGAGGTCATTGCTGCTTTCCTCAATTCAGAGAACGGATCTTTGATCTCATCTTTTGTTCCTTCTATGCCCAGTTTTTCATCTTCAATTCGTCTATTTTTGTGACAATAAATTGCAACTGCCTTGCCAAGCATCTCAGTGATAGCAGCCTTGTAATCAATTGGATGATGCCGAAAATGACCTGTGACAAATTCAAATGGAATTCAATACATTCATCCCCGATCTACAAACACACTTTTAAATATTACATGGCATTATGCTAAAAAAGATCCCATTACCATACTCATTTCAGTTTTACATAAATATCAGGAATTACAACTTCTTTCCCTTTGTACACACATGCAATTGAAATAATTTATTAAATCATATCATCAGTCAGCTTGCCAGGATTTAAAGGAAACAAAATCAATCATATTTTGCATGGTCGCAGACTTGAGTATTTGGAACTCTGGATGCACCATAGCATGCAAACCTGAGTTGGAATTTAAGATGCACATCTTAAGGGGAAAGAGGTTGCCAGCTGTACCAAGACTACACATTCTCCATAAATGAATGTTGTTTCGTTTAATGTATGAAAGACAGGCAAGGAAAAGAAAGGATCAGCAAAATGCATGTCTCTGTCCGAAATGTTAGCTTGCAGTGAAATATTTAAATAAATAAACTTTACTGTGACAGATTAAAAGAAACAAAATGCCTTACGCATAAGGCTGTTGTAAATATTTGTTCTTTTATTATTATTAGTATTTGTTGTATTGGGCCAAGCCCATTAGGTCAAGTATTATGTTTTTCATTCTCTATAAATAGAGACCTCTTTGTACAGATTATTTACACAATTAATAATATTTTCTGATTACTCTTTTCAAGTTGGTATCAGAGCTCTCGATCCTGAGGGCTCTGCTTCCGCGCCTATTGTCTTTAGAACAAGAACCTTTTATTCTTTTCTTCTCTCGCTGCCACCGGATTTTTTCCGGGGACCTCTTGGACCGAGAAGAACTCTGTTATACTGGATCTCTGTTACTGTTCATCGTCTCTGTTACTGTTCATCACAAGACATCATCTGTTCATCACGTTTGGACCCTTTCCCGGTGGTTTTTCAACTCCGACCAGACCTAGAAAGAACCGCGCTCACCGGACGACGTTGCTCCAGAAATTTCAGACCGGACGGCCACCGCACGCGCCCACACGCGCCTCCTCTTCAACCGCGAGTGAAGCCCACGCGCAGCCAATCTCACCGGCGCGTGAGACCACTTTTCCGGATCGGACCACCGCGATCTTGATCGTCCCTTCATCTTCTTTCTGGATCTGTGCTCAAAACTTTGATCGGACTTCATTTGGTATTTTTTCCAAATTTTTTGGCTTCTTGGTGCTATTCTTTGACAAGTTTTGTGCAGTATGACCTCTTCTCAAAGGAGTTCCTTTACAAAGTTTTCTGATGGTGCATCTTCTGGACCTAAGAGAGATGATCGATGGTGTTCTTATTGTAAAAGAACAGGTCATATCAAGGATCTATGCTTTCGCCTTCATGGAAAGCAAACTGCCTTAGAAAAGATGGATAGGATGCATGGTCAACAACATTTTACTTCCTCTAAAATAAATTCTACATTTCGTCCAGATGAGTTGGAACGGCTCCGAACCCTCCTTGATTCTTTGAGTGAGCCATCTGATACTAGTGCTTTGACTATGACTAGTATGAGCTCCAAAACTTATTCTTTCATTTCTTCATGTAATGATTTTAAACATTCTTGGGTTGTTGATTCTGGTGCTACTGATCATATGGCTTGTTGTGCTGACTCCTTTACTTCTTATCATCCTACCATTGGAACTCATACAATAGCCGTAGCTGATGGCTCTCATACATCAGTTGCGGGTTCTGGTGACATAAACTTACAGCAGTCCTTACATCTTAAGGATGTTCTTCATGTTCCTAAACTCTCCACGAATCTTCTTTCTATTCATAAAATTACAAAAGATTTGAATTGTACTGTAACCTTCTATCCTACCCATTGTGTTTTTCAGGATCTCGACACGGGGAAGGCGATTGGTAGTGCTAAAGAGCAAGGTGGGTTGTACTATCTGGTGTCACAATATCCCGCAAATAAAGTAACAGATCACATCTTGATGTCTCATGGTCAATCAACTGCTGATTCTTTGATTTGGCTTCATCATAAGCGCTTAGGTCATCCTCCATTTAGTTTACTCAAATCTTTATTTCTGTCATTGTTTTTGTCTAAGTCTGTTGAGTCTTTTCATTGTGATGTTTGTGAATTTGCTAAGCATCATCGTGTGTCTTTTCCTTCTAGTATTACTAAGAGTGTTGAACCTTTTGATCTTATTCATTCTGATGTTTGGGGTCCCTCTAAAGTCCCTCATGCTTCTGGAAATAGATGGTTTGTTTCTTTTATTGATGATTGCACTCGTATAACTTGGGTGTACTTAATGCGTGAAAAGTCTGAGGTACCACAACTGTTCTTTCAATTTTATAAAATGGGTGAGACCCAGTTTGGTAAAAAAATCAAGAGACTAAGAACAGATAATGGTACTAAATATGTTAATAACAGTTTTTCCCAATTTATAAAAAATAACGGTATGATTCATGAACTTACTTGTGTTGACACCCCCCAACAGAATGGGGTTGCTGAAAGAAAAAATCGTCACCTTCTTGAAGTGGCTCGTGCATTAATGTTTCAGACACATGTACCCAAATACTATTGGGGAGGTGTTATTCTTACTGCAGCATTCTTGATCAACCGTTTACCCACTCGAGTACTTGACCATGTAAGTCCTATTCACTCTATGACTTCTTTTTTCCCTTCTATTCCAACTATGAGTCTTCCTCCACGAGTGTTTGGGTGTGTTGCTTTTGTTCATGTTCATAAACATCATCGCAGTAAGTTGGACCCTAAGGCTATTAAATGTGTTTTTCTTGGTTATGTTCCTGATAAGAAGGGCTACAAGTGCTATCACCCTGGTAGTAGAAATTTTTTTGTTTCTATGGATGTTACATTTCAGGAATCTGAGTCCTTTTACCAAGGTCCTCATCTTCAGGGGGAGAATCCTTCACCAGAAATCTCATCACCTCCCTTCTTTGAGTTTGAATCTTCAGTGTCTACTCCTTTACCTGTGTCAGTGTATCCTCCTCTTGGTCCTGTTCCTCCTGTGTCTGATCCTCCTGTGAGTAATCCTCCTATGACTGATTCTCCTGTGATTGATACATCAAGTACACCAGAGATACGGAAGATTATGACACCTGAGTTGGTATATCAAAGAAGGAAACAGCCCATATTGCCTCAGCAGCAACCTCAATCGTCTGAACCACTGGTAAGTCCCGAATCTCATATTTCTGATCATGATGTTAATATTTCTGATGACTTACCCATTACTACTGATTCTGATGATTTACCCATTGCTCTTAGAAAAGGAAAAAGAGCTTGTCCCAAGAAATCTTGTCCCTCCTGTCCCTCTTGTACTCAATACCCTATCTCCCATTTTGTTTCCTCTGCTAATCTTTCTGTGCAGCACAAAAGCTTTGTTTCAGCACTAGACTCTATTGCAATCCCAAAATCAGTACATGAAGCCTTGAAAGATGGGAATTGGGCTCAAGCCATGCAAGAGGAAATGAATGCGTTGGAGAAAAATAAAACATGGGAGGTTATTGATAGACCTAATGGAAAGAAAGCAGTAGGGTGCAGGTGGGTTTATGCCCTGAAATATAATTCTGATGGAACTCTTGAGAGATACAAGGCTCGATTAGTTGCCAAAGGTTACACTCAAACCTATGGCATTGATTATGAAGAAACATTTGCTCCAGTTGCAAAGATGAATACGGTGAGAGTCTTGTTATCCCTTGCTGCCCATTACAATTGGGATATAAATCAATTTGATGTGAAAAATGCTTTCCTCAATGGTGAGTTAGAATAAGAAGTCTACATGGAAATCCCGCCTGGTTTTGATTCTGTGAAGGGAGAAAATAAAGTTTGTAGATTAAAAAAGGCCTTGTATGGATTGAAGCAGTCACCTCGTGCCTGGTTTGGAAGGTTTATTAAGGTTATGATGACCTTAGGATACAGACAGAGTCAAGGAGATCACACTCTTTTCTTCAAGCACTCCCATAATGGGAAGCTTACTGTGCTCCTTGTATATGTCGATGATATTATTATCACAGGTGATGATTTTGTGGAGAAACAGATTTTACAAGCACGGCTTGCCTCTGAGTTTGAAGTCAAAGACCTTGGGAAACTGAGATATTTCCTAGGGATAGAAGTAGCTCATTCAAGGAAAGGAATTTTTATTAGCCAGAGGAAATATGTTCTTGATCTTCTCAAAGAAGCAGGAAAGCTCGGGTGTAAACCCTCTAATACTCCTATTGAGCAGAATCACAAGATAGGCTATGAAGAAGAGAGTCCTCTAGTTGATAAAGGACAATATCAACGGCTAGTTGGGAAATTGATATATCTGGCTCATACTAGACCAGACCTAGCTTATGCTGTTAGTGTTGTCAGTCAGTTTATGCACGATCCAAAGGAGAAACACATGCAGGCAGTAGAGAGAATTCTGCAGTATCTTAAAGCTACTCCTGGTAAAGGATTGTTATTCCGACGTGATGGCAATCTCTCTTTAGAAGTTTACACTGATGCTGATTATGCTGGATCCGTGACTGACCGTCGTTCTACCACTGGTTACTGCATGTTTTTTTGTGGTAACTTGGTGACATGGAGAACTAAGAAACAAGATGTGGTCGACAGATCAAGTGCAGAAGCTGAATTTCGAGCTATGGCTCAAGGCATTTGTGAGTTACTGTGGCTGAAAATTATACTTGATGATCTCAAAATAAAATGTGAGGGACCTATGAAGCTGCTATGTGACAATAAGTCCGTTATTTGTATAGCTCATAATCCGGTTCAACATGATCGGACTAAACATATTGAGGTCGACCGCCATTTCATCAAAGAGAAACTTGATAGCGGGTTGATTACCACTCCATACATTCCCACTGGGCGTCAATTAGCTGATCTATTGACAAAGGGACTTCCTTCAGACAGATTTCAAGAACTTACTAGCAAGCTGAGAATGATAAATATCTATTCCTCAGCTTGAGGGGAAGTGTTGTAAATATTTGTTATTTTATTATTATTAGTATTTGTTGTATTGAGCCAAGCCCATTAGGTCAAGTATTAGGTTTTTCATTATCTATAAATAGAGACCTCTTTGTACAGATTATTTACACAATTAATAATATTTTCTGATTACTCTTTTCAAGTGGCATGTACCCACAGTTAACACTAAAAGAATCAAATGGATATTCGCAAATGAACAGTCATCTTGACCAGGAAAACTAGCATAAACAAAGCTTTAATATATGCCGTTACACTTGAAACAAAGTCACAATAGGAGCTACTAGGCATCTATTTGTCAAGTAGAACCTTATTATCTTATCCATATGCTATTATGTGCAATCAATCACGATACAGACCTACATGAGGAGAGCCACTCCATTTTATCAGTTTCACATCTCCACCAAGGTCTTTTAGTCGATGGGCAAACTTTGAAATAACTTGAAAAGGAGCAAGGTCATCATTTTCTGAACAAAAAATGAGATATGGGGCCTGCATACTCTGAGAAATAATTACTTGATAAGCAGAAAATTTAAGAAACCTAAGAAAAAAGAGGTAATTTTTTAATTAGATGTCATGTATTCTCAGCTGCTTACAGTGGTGGAGTAAAGTGTTTGCCAGTACTCTGCACGTTGTGATTCAAATCTGCTGAGGAAAAGAGAATCAAGACCAAATGCAATGCCATTTGCAACCCATGAAGCAAATCTTGGTGGATGGGACACTTTTAAAACAGTCGGGTGTAGAAGAAAGCGAACACCCAAATCACTGGTAAAATCAACTGGACTGGAATCATAAATATAGCCAGAAATACAGTCTCTAACAAGTTGGTAGTCATCCTGCGCAATGAAATAGTTCAGAAGCAGTGAAGAATATAAAAGAAAACTATCATTCAGATTTTTTTTTTTGTGTGTGAATAGGAAAATTACAAGGACAAAAAATCACCGCCCAGAATTCATAAGTCCATGTTACAAGAACTCAACCAAATTACTTAGTAAAAGGAAATATATGATCCATTAAATTATGGAAGCATAGAATGGAAAGCTAGGGATTCAACACTATATACCTCCTTTCACACATTAACATGATTTGAGAAAATTTACGACAATGATGGGTTTACTATGCAATCTATGTAACTCAATCATCCTTTGAACGGCTATTGACAGAATACATACCATATTATGTGTTTCACACTTCCCACTAATCATCTGGATCAAAGGAAAACAAGGTCATCAGACGTCAGAGTTAAAAGTTTTTATGGCATGATGATCAAAACATAAAAATCATGTAAAAAGAAAAGAAAAGAAGAAGCCCAAAGTCTGGAACAAAATACCTGAAGAACCTTGAACATACAAGCTTTTGCACCACCAGAAAAAGATGCAAAGACAATGGGGCAAGGCCTAATTTTCAGCACCTGCATATTAAAAAAACAGCAGTATTTGTGAGCTTGAACCTATGGGTCAATTTTTTACCAAATTAAAAAAAGATTACAAATTCAACAGTAGTTCAAAAGATAATCAGTTTACTTCAAGTCAGACTACTTTGCGCAGGTTCTACATAATGGGACATAAAACAAGAACAGATGTTACAATTATGCTTCTTATCTCATCGAAACTGGCTTTGTCTCAAATGTCGACACAAGATCATAGGCAACTTCAGAATTCTTTGTAAAGGAGGTTTTTAGCTGACTTGAATTCAGACTGATTGACCTTCAAAATGCAGGACTAGAGTAAAACTTACCTCAAGAAGTTCGTTAAGAATATCAGCAGCAAGAATTGTGGCTTTCTCAGGGAAGAACCTGCAAATAATAGCAATGCTACAATCATTATACAATATACATTGAGATGTGCAAAGAATCACGTACTGATGACCTCATCTCTCTTGAAAATAAATAAAATCCCAAAGCATCTGCAGGCCATTTTACATAAGAACTAAACATTGACTTCAATTAAAATAATTTAGCAAACTTAGCATTAGTTTATTATGCTCCCAAAACCCCCCATAAAGAAGAAGCCAGAACATTTGGAGATTAATTAATCGAGCTTATACCATCATCATTCTAAATAATACAAGCAAAAATTATAACTCAAAGTTTACACGCATCCAATGAAAAAAAAAAGACAATTAAAATGCAAATAAAAAGCTACAACTTTTACCTTTTGTGATTTATTAAACAAATGCTGTGGTTTTGACATAGCAATTAGCTCACTCAAGCATTCAACAATTCAAATAATAATCCCTTCCATCCAAACTGATTTGCTCTGTAAACCCTAAATGAAAATGCAGTTTGTAGAATCACAAAATTGAGATAAACTTCGCCTAAGGGTACACTTGTTGGTCATTTTGACCACATTGATCAATTCAAGGCCAAGCTAGCTGCTAAAGGCAACATTGAAATATATGGGTAAGACTATGGCGATGCCTCACACTTCATGCCAACCAGCAAATAAATGTAGTGTGTTTATTTTAGTGTCCTAAAAGACAAGGACACTACTCCTACTGATTACACTTCATGAAGTTAATATGTGATGGTTCATTCAGGAACCAACAAGAAATTTCCCTGGACAGAGAGAGCTCTCCTCCTGCCAGCCTCAACTTTTTTGAATGTATACAATTGTGGTCGAGCTTCAATCTTCAATTATACCTGTAAACCTTAGGGCCAGGTACTAATAGTTCATACAAGTAATGATTTAGTTGGGAATAACCCGTTCCTCTTCTGCTTTTGAAATCTTTTGGCTTGAAATATCCATTTAGCACCCCAACAATCAGATACTAAGGCTTTAGCAGTAGTAAATCCCCGCTTCATATGTAGCTTTGGAGTTGCTTTTACCACTTCGACATTCTTTGTAACATGCATTAGTCATTTATGAGGCGTTTTCTTACTAACAAGTAACAACAAAATCAATATCACCGTTATCCCAACTAACTAAGTAAATAAATTAACGGGTGGAATCCACATTCATTACTACTCAAAATTGACCTAAGAATATATAAATTGATTATATATGAAGATGTAACACAGTAACAAGGTAAAACCTTGTCTTCTCTTATTGGAGTAGAATCTCTAATTTGTCACCACCTATATCAAACACTTGTTGTTTCCGAAGACAAAGGTTGTTAATATCAAAATTCCCAAATACCCAATTAAAGTATAGAACTCACATATTGAGAAATTGAGAATGGCAGACAAGTGAATTCCATCCGACAGAGGAGTAGAGCTCAACATATTTCATCAAGTGCTTCTCCTCGCTTGACATCCACGCGAACACCACTACTATTCCATCAGCTTTCTCACAAGCTACCTTTCTTCCCCAATAATATCTACCACCAAATCCCCACATTCTTCTTCTACAAAAAAATAAAAAATAAAAAATAAAAAATAAAAAATCGTATATATCCTAGCACTTAATTTCCAGAGAGCTAACAAGGGGAAACAAAAATCGAAAATAAGCAGCAGAATATCATATTTGGATTCAGATGAAATGAAGAAACTTTACTTGAGAGGATGAAATCAAAGGGAAACAGACAGGTACATGCACTCCTCTTTGTTTCCGTCACACTGTCGCGGTTTTTTAAGGAAAGGACAAAAACAGGGTTGAAGGAAATATGGTGTTGATTATGTGTTTGAGCTCACGCTACGCCTTCACGGATCGCAACCCAAAAGTCCTATGCTCTATTGGTGCTGTGTCCACAACACAACTCGCGGGTATGGGAATTCAGAGTTCGTGTTCAACCCGAAATTGTTTTTTATTTTTTATTTAAATCGATTTAATTCCATTCCTCACTTTCCAACTTGTTTTTAAAATCGCTTGTTGATTTTATATTATTTTCTCATTTTAATTTTTTTAGTCTTTGTCATAAAGCAGACGAAACGATGATTTGAAGATAAATACGGGGTCGCGCGTCTTCTGATCGAGCGTCCTTATCTTACAACACACCAGGCCCATTCCATTGGTTACTGTTCCACGGAAGCTCCAATAATTCACCTAAAGCAACAAATAAAATCCAATATTTTTTCAAAAACATTCGACTATTCAAATTCTTTTATTCAGCGCTTGATTGTATTTCAAGAGTTTGATTTTTCAGTTATTAAGTGATTTAAAAAAAAAAACTTTGTAAAGAGGATTTAAAATTAATGTTAGTAAACTTGAAAAGATTATTAACCCGATCATATTGGGTTAATGAGTTATTCATTTAACATGTTAAATTGAATTTATATTAAATTATTTAATAAAAATATTAATAGGTATAATTTAACAAAATATATAACTCTAATCTGGTGATAAGTGTTTATTATCTCAACAACCCCAAATCTTTCAATATTTTACACATTTTCAAAATAGGTTCAAATAAAAAATTAATTTTTTTTTTAACATTTCAAACGATTCATCACTTTACGACTAGTTCAATTTAAGGTGGATACTAAAATTAAGACTTTAAAGACAGTATAAGAGAATGATCGAACATATACTGTATTCCTCACCTACTCAATTTCTTAACACAACTGAGCAACTAAAAAAAAAAAAAAACTAATATTGATCAATATTGGTTGAACCATGGTTCATAATTGGTTCACTGGTTTAGCTTAAACGTTGCCTTTCCTCATCATAATTAATTGAGGCTAATGATCAAGTGCACATATAAGCAACAAGTTTCCATCAGCAACGATTATATTAATCTACCAATGGAAGGATGTGCATCACGTTTTATTTTACCCTTGTTGACGATAGAGAAAAAGTACTACACAAGGACGAGTGAACATTTGCAATAGACTACAAAAATCATAATAAATATATGGAATTGTTTTTACCTACCATTTTTTTTTTTATCTTTATCTATCATTCTCCAATATTATTATATCAAAATCTCAACAGGAAAGAGAAATGATGAAAATAGTTAAGATTTTGATCTAACGGTATTAGAAAGTGACAGGCAAAAGTAGGCAAAAAAAATGATAGGTAAGATAATTTATCCCTAAATATATATATATATATATATATATATATATATATATATAACAAGGAATTAAAAGTTATCTCCAGCTATCCCCACTTAGGATTTAGAATAAATAAATAAAAAGTATTTTAATAAAAGTGTTCATTTTTTTTGCAATGAATATAAATAAGTTATCTGCATTGAGTTCAGGACGGCATTTTAATTTATTTCAATGTTATAAGTGGAAATATTAAAACATTAATAAAATATATGTTACAAAGTTTTTAAAATATCCTTTATTTTTTATTCTAAATTCCAGAACGACGTCGCAAGAAATAAACACTTTCCCCATATAACAATAATATGTAACGGTTGGTATATATTTGGAATCTATGCTCTATCATGGCAACGGAAAAATGAGAAACTTCTCTAGTGTGATCAATCGGGTGCAGTCTTGCCTCGCTAGTTGGAAGAGCCACATCCTCTCCTTTGTTGGGCGTGTGATTCTAGCTAATTCAGTCATGAGCTCCATTCGTATCTATCGTATGCAACATGGTTCTCTTCCCATCACTATCTATAATGAGATAGAAAAACTGCAATGCTCATTTATTTAGGGGATACTTTGGAGAAGAAGAAGGCTCACCTCATTTCGTGGGACAACATCTTCAAGCCGAAATGTGTTGGTGGATTGGGAATCCATAATCTAAAGATTCACAATGATGCCTTTCTTCATAAGGTTGCGTGGAGGATCATCAATAGCAGAGAGAACCTATGGGTTCAAGTTCTTTCAGCCAAATATGGGAGGCATCCTAATTTAAGAAGATAGCTCAAAGTTCAATAGTATGATTCTAACCTCTGGAAAGGAGTTGGTCGAATTTGGAATGATTTCCTTAACAATCTTATTTAGGATGTTGACAATGGGTGGAAATTTCATTTTGGTATGACAAGTGGAGCCATCTGGATATACCTTTTATTGACTATGCTCTTCCTACTACTAATATCTGGGATAGAATGCATAGTAGCAGACATGGTGGACCAATGTTTTGGGGAGTGGGTCTTTGACTTCCTTCAGAGGAATTTTCCATTGGAAGTGGTGTTATAGAAGACAGTGGGTGATGTTAAATCACTAAGAGGTTTGAACCCATGTATAAAGCAGAGGAGGAGGTAGATGATCAGAATTATCACTGTGCAATTATAAACAATTAAAAACAGACTTGTCAGGTATTAGAGAAAGACAGAATGATGAATCAGATATGCAAAATCAGAAGGATAAAATCTGAGCCCACAGAACGTGTCTCCTTAAGACAATTTGCCCCCTCACTGGTGTCAAAGGTTGATGGACACTTGTCTCCCAGGATAGAACAGATTTCGTCTGAAGAATGGTGGCACTACCAATCAACAGCCCAAACGAACACAACAAAATGCCAGAGGAAACTACACCGGAGTATGAAAAGGAACATGCAAAACCGGAAGGAGAAAAATTCCGGCAGAGTTTCAGTGCAGAAAAATTGGATCCATTTTCTGAAGGTGTCAGTGTCTATTTATAGACAACGTAAAGTCACGTTCCAAAAGGCACCTATTCGACGACGAAACAACACATTCGTTGGACACGAAAAGACACATTCGTTCGACACGAAAAGACAAATTCGTTCAACACGAAAAGACACCCATTCAAGGATGAAACAACATGTCCGTTAGGATGAAACAACATGTCCGTTAGGATGAAACAATATGTCCGTTAGGATGAAACAACACATCCTTTAGGATGAAAAGATACATCTGTTTGTCGACGAAAAGGCACACCTTTTTCACTACCAAACTTCTTATTCATAACCAATAGATTGTCTATACAATTTTTATATATATATATAAATTCCAACAATCCCCCACATGGATAAGAAGTCAAATCATCGTGACAAAAAATGCACAAGAGTATAAATGCAAAGTGTAATTTCCTCAACGAGAAACAACTGCATCGAGATAGGTTGAGTTACCTTTGAACCTTCTCTAGTGGAAACCTATCGGATATACTCGGTCAATCGGTGGTCTAGGTCGACTTGAACCGTCAACCTTTAGTGTATACCTAGACAATAGGAGTCACACAATTGCTTCTCTAGCATTGTTGGTCCTTTGTTGCGCCCATTTTGGCCGTGAGACACTTGCCTGGTTCTGCGAGTGTTTTAGAGAATCGGCCTTTGAAAAATTCTCATAGAAGCGGCCCTCACTTCACACTCACATAGGTGATTTCTTGTGATGTAACTCACTTATACATCTTCTGAACACAACAAATTAAGAAATCATTAAAAGCCTAAGTGCTTACCCTCATAAATACATTGTCTTGTCTTAGGAATGAGTATGAGTTTAAAAACTCCACAGTGTTTAAACAGTCGACCATCACTTAGCTGTCTCTTTGAACCTAGTTCATGGGATCTCCACTCTTCTAGGTAGAGTTACCGCAATGTTCAACAATTGATAGGCCTTAAACTCATTCCTTTCGACAAATTTTCAACCAACTCTATAGGAATCCCTTTGGTTAACGGATCCGCTATGTTTTCCTTAGACTTAACATAGTCAATCGAAATGATTCCATTCGAGAGTAGTTGTCTTACGATATCAGTCTACGACGTATGTGTCTAGACTTACCGTTATACATGACGTTCTTGGCCCTTCCAATAGCTGCTTGGCTATCACAATGTATGCATACAGATGGTACCGGTCTTGGCCAATTAGGAACATCCTCAATAAAATTACGAAGCCATTCGGCTTCTTCACCGGCCTTATCTAAAGCAATAAATTCTGCTTCCATGGTTGACCTTGCAATGCAGGTTTGCTTGGACGATTTCCAAGACACAGTACCTCCACCAAGGGTGAACACATATCCACTTGTGGATCTAGTGTCGTTAGAGCCGGTGATCCAATTTGCATCACAATACCCTTCTATAACCGCGGGGTATTTCTCGTAATGCAAAGCATAATTCTGAGTATACTTCAAGTATCCCAAAACTCTTACCATAGCTTTCCAATGATTCTCATTTGGATTACTGGTAAAGCGACTTAACAAACTTACTGCATAAGCAATATCAGGTCTGATGCAGTTCATAACATACATAAGGCTTCCCAACACTTGAGCATATAGCTTTTGTGTTGTAGCTTTACCAGTGTTCTTTAATAAACTCAAATTAGAATCTACAGGGTTCCTCACAGGAGTTATATTCAAACTCTTGAATTTCTCAAGAACCTTAGCTATATAGTGAGCCTGTGATAAGACCAACCCTGTAGATGTTCTATGGATTTTAATACCTAGGATAACGTCTGCTATCCCTATATCTTTCATATCAAACTTACTTTTAAGTAATTGTTTAGTAGCATCAATCATTTGATTATTACTACCCATGATCAACATGTCGTCTACATAAAGACAGACAATGGCAAAACCTTTTTCAGTATTTCAAACATAAACACATTTGTCACATTCATTAATTTGAAATCCATTTGACAACATAACTTTGTCAAATTTCTCATGCCATTGTTTTGGAGCTTGCTTTAACCCGTAAAGGGATTTTATTAAGCGACAAACTTTCCGTTCTTGTCCTGGAACAATAAAACCTTCAGGTTGTTCTAAATATATCTCTTCTTCCAGGTCGCCGTTTAAGAAGGCGGTCTTAACATCCATTTGATGTATTTGTAATCCATTCAATGCAGCTACCGCGATCAACATCCTAATGGATGTGATCCTTGTAACCGGTGAATAAGTATCGAAATAATCGAGACCTTCACGTTGCCTGTAACCTTTTACCACAAGCCTTGCTTTATATTTATCAATAGTGCCATTC